ACATATTTCTGATAGTAAGATATTGGTTTCATATGTAACAGACCGTGAAAAAGTTCTTTCTGCTAACCCACTTTCAGAGTTTATCCAGTTTCTGATATTTTTTATGCTTTAAGTCAATCATTGACGTCGAGTCTGCCATCAAGTTCAGCCTTTAGTGTATTGCCTATTTAGCCTTTAAAAATACCTGACCATGGGCGTCAACTATTCAGTTTTTCTATTATTATCTCTCCTCAAGCTAGTCTTGAAAAAACAAACCTTTTTCTTGATCAAAAAAAAACTGGATCACGGAAGTCTGGTAATGGACGTAAGCGTCAGCAAAATACTCACAGTTACTCCTGTTCCAAATAAAATAAATGAGCTTCAGGAAATGAAAAAAAATCTCAGTCAAAAAAAAAAAATTATGAAAACCAGTTTAAGACTTTCATGAAGAAAAAAAAAGAGAACTCCATCTTATAAAGATGGAGTTCTTAAATAAAAATAAAATAAAAAATAAAAGTAACAATAACAATACATTATAATCATAAAACTTTAATGTACTGTCTTGTAGTTCTACTTCAGGGTATAGTAAAGAAGTAAATTCATACTTTAACGACTGGGAAAACATTGAGCCTCGCTAAAAAATTACATTTTTTTCATTGATTTTACTCTTTTTTCTTCTAATAAGAGGAATAAATTTGTCGAAAAATTAGTTAGCTTATTGCTTTTTATTATATATATTGATATTATATTTTTATTATAGATATTGTTTTGATGACTTAAAAACAGTTCTTAGATATAAACTTGAATTTAGATTAAGCATACATGCTTAAAATCAAGGGTACATATAGGTAAAATCAAGGGAGTATGCTGGTATGGACCTTTGAGCCTTATTGAGTGTTTTTAGTTTTTATAATTTAAAATTTACTAAAGGTATTAAAGGTAATAAAATGGTTATTAAACTATTACAAGGTATAACGTTTGCTATCATGTACTGTTACTTTAAAGATCGAAATTAAACCCTGTATTCAGTAAAGTGACCTGTAATTTAAATTGGCGTTGTAATCTAAATTTAAAGAAAAAGCGTTCGAAATATATCAAACTTACGCTATACCATTAACTTTAAATGATCGATCAAAAAACGTAGTAAATCATTAGTAAAAAACCTGTTTAAGTTTTTGTGATTAGAATACAGAACTAATACAGAAAACAAAAATAACATTCTGCTTTTTTTACAAATATTTTTATATTATTGATATTGAGATGTTCAAGTTATAAACTTTACGACCTTAGTTCTTTACCGTACCAAATGTTGTTATATATATTGTGTATGCAACATGTGCGCCAAATTTTGAGTCATATATTTTGTATACAGTCAACCGGGGCTACTTTACTCCATCGGGGGCTACTTTGCACCACTTTTGAAAGGTTTTTGTAGCAACCCAGCTCTAGTAGCAGCATTGATTTTTTTAAACTATTTGATTTTTTCTTGTTAGTTGGGCCATTATTTTTAACTTTAGGAATAAATTTTAAATGATGCTGCCATTTTATGCGTTCTTTTTTAATATTTGCGGAAGTCATTTTTCAGTCCGAACTTTTTCTCTTTTAAAAGCGGCGTGTTTCTACATGAAAACTATATCAATTTTTAATAAGTTTTTTTATGAAATTTATTATTTAATTTATTATTTATAAAGGTATTATTTAAGAACAGTCTTAGTGTCAAGTTTTGACCAAAAACTTTGCACCAGCTAAAAGAATAGTGAAAAGTTACCTCAGACTATTGTTTTTTACATTTAATGGTTTAAAACGTTGCTATTAAATGTAAATTGTTTTTAGGGATAGTAAGGCATTACAAAAGAAATTAGGAGCAAAAATTATTCGAATGAAACACTGCAAATATGCTTTGTTATAATTAAAAAGTAACACTCTTTCAACGCGTAGCTTCAAATCAGTTCAACATACCATGAAAAACAATAACTATTAAGCTAAAGTAAAAACATTATATGAGACCAGGTTAGCAACCAATATTTTCAAGACTTGAAGAAGAGTCGTTTGTTTCATATATATTGAAATTATAAGTGATTTTGGTTTTCCATTGACTCATAGAGACTTGAGATTGATTGTGAGTTCCTACTTTAACAAAAAAATAGAAAAGTTAATAAATAATATTCCTGGCAATGATTGGGTAAAAAGATTTTTAACACAATACCCTAAACTAAAGGAATGTTTTGCTTTTTTAGGCCAATGAAAATGGCATGGAGATAAATTTTGTTTGATTTGAAAGGAACGCCTAAAGGTTTATGTTATTGTTTTTTACCTAAGCAGTACTTTTCTTCGCTAATAAATCACGTCCTTGATTTTCTAAAACAAAATATTAAAAAAGATCTTCAAAGTGGTTTTCGAAAGTATGGAATTTACCCTTGTGATGTGCAACCACTACATATTAGAATTTAAAGTAAAAAAGTTAAGGCGTCAGCCATTAGTTCGTATTTTTTGGATGCTCTAAAATTGACAAGAACTTTAATTGAGACAAAACCGAAATTTGGTAGAAAAAAATTATTTGTCATACCAGCACAAAAAATTCTTTTTCATATGGAGTTACTTGATATAGAGTTAGATTCAATTTCAAATCAAAACAATATTGAACCACAGCCTGGTCCTAGTAGATCTTCAAAATCTTACAGACTGATGAACAGAAAAATTCAAAAACCACTTGATGGTTCCAATAGAACAGAACCAGCTACCCAGCTTCTTGAGAGTAACTTATTTTATAATTTGGTGAAACTAATTAACAAACAGTTTGATGCATTTGTAATTGTAATTAATTGTAAAAATAAATTATTTAGAATTATAATGATAATGGAGCAACAGTAAGCGTCGTGGCAAAATCATAAAATAATTGGAAATGACCTTTAAAAAAAAAACGAACTTTTTTAAACATGGGATAGGATAGTTGGAGGAGGCTCCCTAAAGTTTTGACCAAAAGAAAGATATTTCCAGTGCTAGAGTTGTTTCATGGTGGGAAATACGAGTGACGATGATATATAACATTGAAGTTTGTTTATTTATAAAGTGGAGCTTTGTGTAATTTTTTTGTTTTGTTTTTAATATTTATTTATTTAAAAAAAAATATTTATAAACAAAATGATTTACAAATCATTTTGTTTATTTTTTAGTTTTTTGTGAAATTCCTGAACTAAAGCTTATACTCGAAATTTCTGGGTAAAAAATATGTTTTTAGTTTTAAAACCGTTTTTTAAGCTACATAAAGTATTGTACTTATTTAAATTTTTGTGAAATTCTCTATACTATAATTATCTGATAAGGCGGAATTTTTTTTTGTTTTTAACATTAAAAACATATTTTTATTATGTGGTACAAAGTAGCAACTCATTAGGGCTACTTTACAGCAAACTTAAAACCTCAATCAAAATTATATTAAATTTAAATTATTTTTTTTCTACATAGACCAGTTATAACAACATATTAGAACTCGAAAAAATTAATTTAATTCATTAGGCAAATTTTTTATTATGCCTAAATTTAAATGCAGTAAAATAACCATTAAAAAACGGAGTAAAGTAGTCCGGAGTAAAGTAAGTTGTAAACGGAGTAAAGTAGGTTGACGGTTCAATAAATGCATTAACAATTGTACATAAAATGTAAAAAATGTGCATACACACCATATGAAAGTTGTTGAAGAATTTACAAAACAATAATAAAAAAAGAGAAAAACTGCCAATGCAATATGAAACAAAGTGTTCATAATAAAGTTATACAAAACAACCCAACTATTAAATAAGATAACTTAAAATGATTAAATTTTTTGGTTATGCTTATGCTCTATCTAAGACCTTCCATACGAAGCTTACGCTCTACCTAATATGGTCTATACAAAGCTTACGCTCTACCTAAGATGGTCTGTACGAAGCTTATGCTCTACCTTAGATCCTCTATATGAAGCTATGCTCTTCCTTACATCCTCTATACGAAGCTTATGCCCTACCTAAGATCCTTTATACAAAGCTTATGCTCTACCTTAGATCCTCTATACGAAGTTATCCTCTATCTAAGACGAGCAGAAGAGTTCGCGCTTTACCTAAGTTTCACAAAAGAGCTTATGCTCTACCTAAAATGCAAAAGAATTTCTAAAGTTATTAGCAAATGTACACAACATGCAAAAAAGTTTCTAAAGTTTCTCATTTCTAAAGTTACAAGTAACTCTACCACTTTTTCGATCTAACAAATTTTGATTAAATTGGATTCATGGTTAAAATTTAATAAGGATACATACATACATACATACATACATACATACATACATACATACATACATACATACATACATACATACATACATACATACATACATACATACATACATACATACATACATACATACATACATACATACATACATACATACATACATACATACATACATACATACATACATATATAAATAAATAGAAAACAATTGCATAATTTGAGAAAATAATCAATTTAAAGGAAAGGCTAATGATAAACCAGCAATTTGTTCAAACTATATCTAATTTAGTTTGAGTAAATTATGCATATAAATATATAAGCTATTTTATATACATTAAATATAAATACATACATACATACATACATACATACATACATACATACATACATACATACATACATACATACATACATACATACATACATACATACATACATACATACATACATACATACATACATACATACATACATACATACATACATACATACATACATACATACATACATACATACATACATACATACATACATACATACATACATACATACATACATACATACATACATACATACATACATACATACATACATACATACATACATACATACATACATACATACATACATACATACATACATACATACATACATACATACATACATACATACATACATTATATATATATAAATAAAATATCAAAGTATTTGTATACATACGAAAACTTTTTTATAAATATTCTTTAGTAACTTACATTATTTCCTTCGTTATAAATTGCTTCATATGGTGGTGGAGGAGTAGCTTCAAAGTAGCTCGGAAGTTGGTCTAAATGATTGTAAAATTTAGCTGTGATGATAATTTGTTTCTAAAAGTTTATAAAAAAAAACTTACTATTTTGTTCGGCCATATTTTTAATCAACGATTACTAAAACATTAAAACTTATAATCTATCTATTATCAGAATCTTAAAAATTTTCTTTTGTTTCGGTTGTTAATTTATTAGAGTGTTTTTTAATTATAATAAATCCACTGTCAGTTTTCCTTGCTTTTGGTTTCAATCTTTTTATTTTTAAGTTCTGTTTATTTTTGATATTTAGCTCTGACTATTTGTGCATTTATTTAAAATTTTGAATTTTGTTGAAAATTATAAACTTATATTAAACCAAAAGTAACAATAGTATATTATTCAATATACTAGTAACTTAATACAATATTTTTTTATTAGTTTTTTAAAAATAACAATTAATAAATATAATAATAAAGGATTATTTATAAAAAAACTTTTTTCTATTTTTTTACTATAATTATAAATGAACGGTAAGTATATTACTATAGAAATGCCAGCAAAAATTTAATTTTTTTTTAGATGTAACATAAGATTATGTAATCATTTGATAAAAAATTAAAATGGGGGGTGAAGCCCTTATTGTTTTGTTGCATAGATTCCTATTATTTTGCCAATGCTAAATGTTACGCTTTCTGTAATTAGCAATATTAAAAAGTGATCAGTGAACCTGTTTTCAATTTTACCGTTTCCAAGATATCTATTATGTAAATTTGAAAACTAAAAATTAGTGATGTTGATGAATTTTTACTTCTTGTGATTTTCTAACAGTTAGGATTATGTCGTATTTAAAAAGTGTATTATTAACATAATTGAAGTTACTACTTGAAACATGGTTGAGCGAGTCAATGTTTATGCAAAACTACCAAATTTGATAAACTAGCCTTTGCAATATTTTTTATTTATTGCTTAGAGATATGGGCAAATAAGTTTGAAATTTTTTAAACAACCAACTTGCCTAAAAAATTGCCTTTAAACTGCGTTAGTGATTATTTTTTTAGTAAATTTCATTTTCAACGCATACAACTCAGATAATTTGTTTATAGGAACTGACCAAGCTATTAACAGTAAGTATGACATTTTTAACTTTCAAAATTAATGAGAAATCTAATCTCAAAGTTAATTAATCAGCTATGTTAACAAGAAAAAGTTTTGTTAAATCATTAGAAATGATTTACTTTACTTTTGGATCGCAATCGCAAACGTAATCGCAATCGCAAATAATTAGTTGTATGGATGATGTACGCAAATTATTCACTTTTTTTATTGTTTTTTATTTTTACCAGAAAATTTGGATTAAGTTGTTTTAGTTAGCGCTCGTTAATGAAAATTTTTTTTTACTACTTTATAACTTAGATTAAATGGTAAAATTTTCATTTTCTTTTTGGAATACTTTTATTTTTGTATTTTAATAATTTTAACACTTTAGATTTCATATACTTTTAATTAACACTATATATCTCAAATACTTTTAATTAACACTATATATCTCACATACTTAAAAGATTTTATCATTTACAAGATATCATTATCAAGATATTCCTCCTTTTATTTCTCCTTCTTCTTTTTTACTAAGCTTACTTTGATTTGACTTTTTGAACTTTTAAATTTAAAACTGTAAATTTTTCTAATAATTTTATTAAAAAAACTTTAATTAACAGAGTTGAAGCTTTTTTAAACTTTTCAATTACCAGACTTCAAGTTCTTTCAAACTCTTCAAACAAAGAATTGCGTTTATTCTAGCTGAAAAATTTTATCTATTAAATCAATACCAGCAAATCGTTTATTAAACTTTTATGCTCTCGATTTGCAAAAACATTATCAATTTTAATTAATTGTGTAGAAATTAAAGGTTGAAATTGAAGTGATAGTTGATATCGAAGTATAGTTGATATTGAATTGAAGCTGATAGTGAAGTGAAGTTGAAATTGAAGTGAAGTTGATATTGAAGTGAAGCTGATACTGAAGTGATACTCGATATTTAAGTGAAGTTGATATTGAATTAAAGTTGAGAGTGAAGTGAAGTTGAAATTGAACTAAAGTTGATATTGAAGTGTAGTTGATATTGAAGTAAAGTTGATAGTAATTAGAGTAAAATCCAAATCTTTTTTTATTTATTTTTTTAGTGAACCTAAAGTCATTTTAGCACCAGATTTTTATAGCTCTTAAATATTTTTTTGTATGTAAGCTTTGTGTTTACAGAAAATTCACACACAATTTTTGTTTTATTCCCAAAGGAGTTTTTAGAATCTTCGATAATTCATATTGGATTTGTAGCAACTGTTATGATTGTTTTTTAACAGTTTTATATCAAAAAAGTATATAAAAAATGGTTTATATTTTTAAAATCTAAATGTCTGCAAGATATTGGCTGATGGTCTTTTTAGTATGAAAAATAGAATTTATAAATTTTTTTAAATGTTGTATACAATACAACATTTACTGTTACTGTATAGGATTATTACGATAACATTGCATTATAAAGATAACTTAATTATAAAGATAAATTGCAATTCAAAACTTATTGTTATTGTATTGTTATTGTTATGTAAAAGGGGAGGCCAGACGCCAGGAAGGTTTGACAGCATCCGAGACCTCCTTCCAAAAAAAAGCTAATATAGTAAACAACACAAGAAAAACGTGTATGCCCAAACTGTGAGACATTGTCTATGACAAGAAACACTATAACGTCTTCTGAGCCTGTAACAGCTGTTCGGTCAATTTAGTTTGGATTCCATCAACTGTATTTTTAAGTTTTTAATCTCTTCCTGATAACGCTAGCTGTTTTGAAAACTAAATTCAATTTTAAGGAATTGTTGGGTTTCAGATCCGTCAGTTGGGTTTCAGATCCGTCAGTTGGGTTTCAGATCCGTCAGATTAAAATCCGTCAGGTGTTACAGCTTGAAAGCCATTTTCATTATTTAACATATTTATTTAATTACTTGAGTTGCGTTACTTGAGTTGCGTGAATATCCGCGAAAACAGCGGTGTTGGCTCTTCAACAAAGTGATATGGCATACCATTAAGCGTAGCATACCATTTGAAAAGAGTTTAATAGGCTGTCCATTTATTAGGATATCAATTCTTGTGATATTCATTATAGTGTTTGATTTTTCAGACTGTCGAGAAAAATTAGTAGACTGTGGATGGTTTCGAAAGATTTCATGTTAAAGTCTCAAGTATGAAGACATACTTGAGACTTTCAGATGAAATCTTTACATCAAAAAATAAAGAGGCTCGAGTTACATCTCGTTAAACTTGACTATGGCGTATTATTCTTTTAAAGGTAAGTCTGGAGCCGCTTATACTACCATAGATTTGCTAAGTCTTGATTATAAACTGTTTCATACTGAAGAGCAGATTTAAGACTGTAAATTGGCGTTGTTGATGCATCAGCAGAAATGATAACTTGCGTACGGTCACTATAAATAGCTTCATATTCGAGCTGATCTCCAAAGCACGAGGTGTGGAATGGTCCTTTTGCGTTAAATAACTCAAAAAGAATGCATTACTTAAACCCATTAGAGGCTGGTTCTCGACCGAAAGTAAGAGATATCACAGTGTTAGGTCTTATTATCGAACAAGTACTTGATCTAAACCTTAAAAGGGTTAATTTTTCAAAATCCGCCTGATTACCAATGCCTTTAATGATTTTAAAGAATTTAAATTTAAATAGCTGAAAACGAAAACAGTTTTTTTCTTGAGATTGATCCAAATCTAATTCTATAAGTACCAAAAAATTTGAAACTTACCTCAAAACAGCAAATATGATGAAAAAAAAAAGTATGATGACAAAACTAAACTTAAATATAAGTGATTTGCGTAATGCTTTTTCCACTCTTTTACCAAAAATAACAAAAGTTCAGACATAAATAAAATTAGCGTCAATGTAGTTGAATCAGTCTTTGATATAATTGAACCCTTATGTTTTACATTTTTAAATTCTCAATAACGTCTGGTATTGTACCATAAACTTAAAATAGCCAAAACCACACCGATTTTTAAGTCTGGTAAAAAAAAAAAAATGTTTCAAAATACAGACCTATCTTACCTTGTTAAATTTCTCTCTTACCTTGTTTCTCAATTGCTAGAACGCATTATGTACAGGAGACTTTATGATCATTTAGTATCAAATAATATTCTGTACAACTAACAATTTGGGTTTAAAAAAAATCATTCTACTGATCACGCGGTAATTGAATTTGTAAACCATATATGGGATGCTTTTGATAAAGATTCTTTTACCTAAGGAGTTTTCATTGATTTATCTAAAGCATTTGACACTGTCAATCATGAAATCCTTATAAAGAAATTAGAACTTTATGGAGTAAACAACTTAAACTTAGTTTGGTTTAAAGACTACATGGCTAACAGGAAACAATGCATAACCTATGAAACAAATGAAACCTAAAAAAAAACTTATAAGTTACGGGTTTCCCGAAGGATCTACCTTAGAACCATTATTATTATCTAGTGTATATAAATGACTTGTTTTTAGCATCTAAAAAATTAATTATCTTAAATTGTTTGCTGACGATTTCAAACTGTTTTATTCACACAAAGATATAAAAATTCTTTTAAATACTATTAATGAAGAATTATCTAAATTAATTGATTGGTTTATAAGTAACCGTCTTTCATTAAATGTAGATAAAAAATAAATTCATCCTGTTCCACTAAACAAATAGAGTTGATAATACTGTACGTAAACTGTCAAATCTTTTATTCAATAAAACAGATGTAAAAAGGTAATTTACTGTTAAGTTTTTAGGAGTAATTCCTGATGAAAACTTTTTATGGAAGTTTCACATCCAATCCATTGAAAGTAAAATCTCTAATAATATTTCCGTACTTTATAAAGCAAAACCATTTTTAAATACTAGAGCTCTAATCAAAACTTATTTTTTATTTCCTAGACTTTTCCTAGATAAATTTTTCAATTTGTACAATAAGTATTTTCCTAATAAAATAAACCGTATTAAAACTAAAGAACTTCTTAATCCTTAGTTCACTAAAAACCTTTCAAAGTCTTTGAACCGAAAACAAAAGTTATATATGCGCTTTATTAAATCAAAGAAAGAACGCGATAAACATAATAACTTAGAGCAAAAACGTCGGCGGACCTGTACTCGGCGCACCCTAAACTCGGTAAAGTTCGTAAACGAACTCGGTAAAGTTCGAAACAATATTTTTGCCGTTTAATGATTGGCTAATGTTAACGAATGAAAATTTAGCACAAAAGTTTTAATTCGC